TGCCGGGCTGTCCTACCACGTGCTGCAGGCCAGCGACCCAGGCCTCTTCAGCCTGGGGCTGCGCACGGGCGAGGTGCGCACAGCGCGCGCCCTGGGCGACAGGGACACAGCCCGGCAGCGCCTGTTGGTGGCTGTGCGAGATGGAGGGCGGCCACCCCTCTCCGCCACCGCCACGCTGCACCTGGTCTTCGCTGATAGCCTGCAAGAGGTACTGCCAGACCTGGGCGATAGTCCTGCGCCCTCTGACCCCCAGGCCGAGCTGCAGTTCTACCTGGTGGTGGCCCTGGCTCTGATCTCTGTGCTCTTCCTGCTCGCGGTGATTCTGGCGGTCGCCCTGCGCCTGCGGAGCTCCTCCAGCCCCGCGTCCTGGGGCTGCTTTCAGCCTGGCCTCAGCTCTATACCTGGGGTTCTTCCCAACTACTGCGAAGGCACTCTGCCTTATTCCTACAACTCATATGCTATCCCCCATTCCTCAAAGACTGAGTTTAAATTTCTGACGATAAAGCATGAAAGTGTTCCTCCTCAAGATCTGTGTGACGAATCCTCTTGGTTAGAAAGTAACAGTCATAATCCGGAAAGGACCCCTAATTCAGCCGAGACGCAACAGGTAAGTTTCTTCTAATATGTCCCCCCATAATTATAACTAAGTTCCAATTCCTTTTTTAAAAAACTTTTTTCAAATAATTATTTATTTTATTCATTCATTCATTTATTTTGTAGTTTGAACAGAGAGAGACAGAGGGTCAGAATGAGAGAGAGGAAGTGAGAAAGCAAGCCACCAGATTCAAGACTTGAACCCTGGTCAGCCATGTGGGAGTGTCCAGCGCCTTAACCACCATGCCACCTGCTGGTCCCCTACTAAGTTCCAATTCCTAATAAAGACAAAACCATACACAGGTTAAATATGCCCTAATTTTATTGTGTTTTATTGTTTTTTTTTTCTGGGCATAGAGGGTAGAAATTTTTTTATAGATTTATGTGTTGCAATTGCTCTTTTATAGACAAATCTCTATGATGGTCTTGATATTTTTGTTATTCCTAAAACAATATAATCAGCCACATTTTCAGTACAGTAGTGTCTAACGCTGTCCTTGTGAGACATGTTATCTATCTAGAATTAATCACAAATTTAAATAATTGTTTTGCTTCATTTCAGTGCAGTCAATCCTAAAATATATATAGTATATGATAAATATTTTAATGTAGCCTATGTATTTTTCACTTCCATTGCAGTGAGGCGTTTTTACTCTTGCTGTCTACATCAGGATGGTTCTTAGTCGACATATTAATAAAAAGAGATGACAGCTTCTGTTGTAACTGGTAGACTGGTTTAAAATGTGTTTGTGATTGTGGGTCCCCTTATTGAAATGGAGCAAATGTGAATGATGGTGATGCATGATCATTCAAAATTTATAGAAAAGGGGCCAGCAGGTGGCATGGTTGTTAAGGCATTGGACTCCCACATGACTGCCCACAGTTCAAGTCCCAGATCTGGTGGCTTGCTTTCTCACTTTTCCTCTCTCTCTCTCTCTCTCTCTCTCTCTCTCTCTGTCTCTCTCTCTCTCTCTCTCTCTCTCTCTCTCTCTGGTGAACACACATGGCCTATAACAAAATTTTGAAATAGTAATAATAAATAAAATTAAATAAGTAATTCTTTTTAAAAAAGATATATATGCAGGTATAATATATTTCTGCTTAGGTCCTAAGTGTATTCTTACAAACATGGGCTGGTGTATTCCAGGTAATTCCTAAAACTATTCACAATGATCTTTCATTCTTTTAAATGATTCATTTTCTTGGGGGAGAGATTTTGTGTCTGTGTGTTATTTCTGTAGATTTAGCAGAAATAAAACTCTGAATGTTAATTTCATAAAATGGTGCAGTATTAAGTTCGGACTCTAAGCGTCGCTGTTCACTAACCCGGGCAAGAAAGTCAATGGGAACTCGAATAACAGCCTCCAGACCAAAGCTGCGCCGGAATTCTGACCTGAAACGCTTCACAACTTGTCTCTGCTGGTTTAAAGACCTTGGCCTCCAATTCTGAGGAACGCAAAAGTGATTCAGATGCAGACCTGTTTTTCCTATTTGTAATCCCAGAGAAGTCCACAAGGAACCAGTTATGGCGTCTCTGCAGAGGCGCCCCCAGCTCAGCGAGCTCCTCCTGCTTTTCACCATCCTGAGGACGCCGTGGGGGGCCAGCGCTGGGCAAATCCGCTATTCTATTCCCGAGGAGCTGGACAAGGGCTCCTTCGTGGGCAGCATCTCCCAGGACCTGGGGCTGGAGCCCCGGGAGCTGGCGCAGCGCGATCGTCTCCCGAGGTAGGACGCAGCTGTTCGCTCTTAATCCGCGAAGCGGCAGCTTGATCACCGCGGGCAGGATAGACCGGGAGGAGCTCTGCGCTCAGAGCGCGCGGTGTCTGGTGAGTTTTAACATCCTTGTAGAAGATAAAATGAAGCTTTTCCCTGTCGAAGTAGAAATAATTGATATTAATGACAATGCACCCCAATTCTTAAGGGAAGAAATGGAAGTGAAAATTCCTGAAAACGCAGCTCCAGTAATTGATATTAATGACAATGCACCCCGATTCTTAAAGGAAGAATTGGAAGTGAAAATTCCTGAAAACGCAGCTCCATCCTCTCGCTTTCCACTAATGGAGGTCTATGACCCTGATGTGGGAATGAACTCTCTTCAGGGCTTCAAGCTCAGCGGTAATAGTCACTTCTCAGTGGATGGGCACAACGAAGCCCATGGGCCCAAGTACCCGGAGCTGGTGCTGGAAAGCGCCCTGGACCGAGAGGAAGAAGCTGTTCACCACCTAGTGCTTACTGCCATGGATGGGGGTGACCCTGTGCGCTCAGGCATGGCACGAATTCTGATAACTGTCCTAGATGTGAATGATAACGCTCCAGTGTTTACTCAGCCTGTCTACCGTGTTAGCATTCCTGAAAATCTGCCTGTAGGTACTCCAGTGTTGTCGGTAAATGCCACAGACCAGGATGAAGGAGTTCACGCTGAAGTTACATACTCCCTTGTGAAGATCACAGAAAAGATCGCACAGATTTTCTGTTTGAATGCTTTAACTGGAGAAATTTCGACTTCTGCAAATCTAGACTATGAAGACTCGAGCTTTTATGAGCTAGATGTTGAAGCCCGGGATGGGCCAGGTCTTCGAGATAGAGCAAAAGTCTTAATAACGATCGTGGATGTGAATGATAATGTCCCGGAAGTGGTTGTTACATCGGGAAGCAGGACGGTTGCGGAAAGCGCACCTCCAGGCACAGTTATCACTCTTTTTCAAGTGTATGATCGAGACTCCGGCCTGAATGGCCTGGTAACATGTTCCATCTCAAGAACTCTCCCGTTTGAACTGGAAAAATCAGTAGACAATTATTATCGATTAGTGACAAGTACAGTTCTAGACCGGGAACAGGTGCGCTTGTACAACATCACTCTAACAGCCATAGATAAAGGAACACCACCTCTGTCTACAGAAACCCTCATCTCCCTAAATGTGGCAGACACCAATGACAATCCGCCCACCTTCCCTCAGAACTCCTACTCTGTCTATGTCCTTGAGAACAACCCCAGAGGCGCCTCCATCTTCTCTGTCACTGCACAGGACCCTGACAGTGATGAGAACGCACGAGTCACCTACTCCCTGGCTGAAGGCACTCTCCAAGGGGCTCCTCTAACCTCCTACATCTCCATCAACTCCAACACCGGTGTACTGTATGCACTGCAATCCTTTGACTATGAACAGTTCAGAGACCTGCAGCTACTCGTGACAGCCAGCGACAGTGGAGACCCACCACTCAGTAGCAACGTGTCACTGAGCCTGTTTGTGCTGGACCAGAATGACAATGTGCCTGAGATCCTGTACCCCACCCTCCCTACTGATGGCTCTACTGGTGTGGAGTTGGCGCCCCGCTCTGCAGAACCTGGTTACCTGGTGACCAAGGTGGTGGCAGTGGATAAGGACTCAGGCCAGAACGCCTGGCTGTCCTACCGCCTGCTCAAGGCCAGCGAGCCTGGGCTCTTCTCTGTGGGGCTGCACACGGGCGAGGTGCGCACAGCGCGGGCCCTGCTGGACAGAGACGCGCTCAAGCAGAACCTGGTGATGGTCGTCCAGGATCATGGTCAGCCTCCTCTCTCGGCCACAGTCACCCTCACTGTGTGGCAGACAGCATTCCTGATGTCTTGGCAGACCTGGGCAGTTTGGAATCTTCCATTCACTCTGACGACTCAGGCCTTACCCTGTACCTGGTGGTGGCTGTGGCTGTGGTCTCCTGCGTCTTCTTGGCCTTTGTCATTGTGCTGCTGGCGCTCAGGCTGCGGCGCTGGCACTCATCACGCCTGCTCCAGGCTGCAAGTGGCAGGTTGACAAGTCGCTGGCACTCATCACGCCTGCTCCAAGCTGCAGGTGGTGGGCTGGCCGGCCTGCCGACATCTCATTTCGTGGGCGTGGACGGGGTGCGGGCTTTCCTGCAGACCTATTCCCACGAGGTCTCCCTCACCGCGGACTCAAGGAAGAGCCACATCATCTTCCCCCAACCCAACTACGCGGACACGCTCATCAGCCAGGAGGGTTGTGAGAAAAGCGAGCCTCTTTTGATACAGGAAGATTCAAGTCTCTGTAAAGAGGACTTCCTTGGTCAGGTGAGGTTATTGTTTTTATTTGTACGGCAAATTTAAAAACTCTTTAATTAGTTTGTATAGTTTGTGCAGTGAATCGTAATTCTGACATCTTTATATCAATAGATCTCTGTTGAATTTTAGTTGAGTTTCATGAAAAATTATTAATTCATGCCCTATATTTTCTTTATCCTTCACCTGTTGGTAAACTATTTTTGCTTTGGAATGCATACATCTTGTTTCTTAGTTTTGGGTTTTTTTTTTTTTCCTATTATGTGACATGTGTGAGATCCTTTCTTTCTCCCAGAAAAAAAGTAGTGAGTAAAAAGACTGACTTGGGGACCAGCAGTTAGCATAATAGCTATGTCGCTGAACTCCCACATAGTCGACTAGTCGACTGTGGTTCGAGTCCCTGACCGGTGGCTTAAACTCAGGAGTCCCTAACCAGTGGCTTAAACTCAGGCCGGGTGCATGTGCTTGCATGCCTGAGATCCCGAGAGGAGAATGGAGAAGGGATTGGGGCATGGCCATCCCCCTGGGGGGTGAATTCTCACTTTCTGTCTCTCTGTCTCTCTCTGTCTTTCTGGTGAGCACAAGAGGCCTATAGCAAAAACCTCCCCCCTCCCCCCAAAAAAAGACTGACTTGATGGGGCCAGCAGATGGCATAGCGGTTATGTTGCTGGACTCCCACATGGCCAACTGCAGTTCCAGTCGGTGGCTTGAAACTCACACCAGGCACAGAGTGAGTGCTTGCAGTGCCTAAGATCCTGGGAGGAGAATGGAGAAGGGATTTTGGTGTGACCATCTCCCCTGGGGGGGGTGATTTCTCACTTCCCTCTCACTGTCTGTCTCTGGCAAAATGCATGCACACTGTGGCAAAAAAAACCTCTACCAAAATAATAAATAAATAAATATTTTTTAAAAAAAATGGGTTTGCAACCTGCTAGAGAAGATCAAGATCTTTTTTTTTCTGTTACTTAATAATGGTAATTGTTTTCTAAAATTGTGGAGATCTATGAAAGATATTTCTCTCCTTACTACTTAGGCATTAAAATTTACTTAAAACAACATAAGAGTCATTGATGCCTGTGACAAGGAACACCTGATTTTTGGTGCTAAAAGACCTGGGTAATAATCCTGAAACTATCTGTGATTTATTTGAGCCAATGACAGTCTCCACAATCTTCTGATTAAAATGAAAATTTAAAAGACATATCAGGCTGGCCCCAGTGACCTGGTGGTTAAGGGAACTGGATCCCACATGACCCTCCACTCAGTTCAAATCTGGACACCAACAGCTTGAAAAACATGCCAGGTGCATGTGCATGCACTGAGTGCTTGATAGTATTTAAGAATGAAAATAGGGGTCAACAGGTGGTATGGTGGTTACGGGACTGGATTCCCTCATAGTTTACAGCAATTCAAGCCCCAGACCTGGCAGCTTGAAAAATCACTCTCTGTGCATGTGTGAGTGTGCCCAAAACCCCAGGAGGAGAACGGTGAAGGAAGGACTGAAGTCATGACCCATGGGGGATGATTTCTCACCCTCTCACTGTCTCTCTCTGCCTCTGTCTGACCAGCACACAGCCCTATGGCAAAAACTTTACAAAAGCAGAGAATTTAAAAAATGAATTCTAAAATATGCTCATAGTGTACACTTACTGTAAATATAGAGCACTGGGAGAGTAAAGGATTAATAGAGCTTAATTAAAAATGTAAGCAATTTGGGCCAGCTGACGTAGTTAAGACAGCTGGATCCAACATGGTTGACTACACAGTTTGAGTCCTAGACCCTGTGACTTGAAAAACAAGGCAGGTGGGGCCAGCAGTTAGTGTAAAGGCTATGTCGCTGGACTCCCACATAGTTGACCGCGGTTCGAGTACCGGACCCAGTGGCTTAAACTCACGCTAGGCGCATGTGCGTGTGTGCCCAAGATCCCGAGAGGAGAATGGAGGAGAAGGGATTGCGGGGTGGCCATCCCTCCTGGGGGGTGATTTCTCGCTTTCTGTCTCTCTGTCTCCCTCTGTCTGTCTGGCGAGCGCACGCACCCTATAGCAAAAAAAAAAAAAAAAAAAAAAAAGAAAGAAAGAAAAAAAGAAAAGAAAAACAAGGCAGATGTGTGTAAGTGTATGTGTGCCCAAAATCCTGAGAGAAGAATGGAAGAGAAGGGATTGTGGTGTGGCTATCCTCCCTAAGGGTGCTTTATCATTTTTCTTCTCTCTCTCTCTCTCTCTCTCTCGAAAGAGCACATGCCCTGTAGCAATTTTATTTTTTACTAATTTAACATTTTAACCCAGATAAAATAAGGCTTCTGTCATATTCATTATCAAATATTCAAAGGAGAGGAGGGTTATTATTTAGATAAATTATTAATTTTATTTATTATGGCCAAAAGGTACAAACAAAATTCTGGCACAATGAGCAGAAAACACCATAGTTTTTCATTATGGCCAAAATGTGCAAACAAAATTATGGCACAATGAGCAGAAAACACCATAGTTTTTCACTGTCAAAATTATTCTAAAATGAAATAGAGCTCTAAGGAGATAAAAGATTCTATTATTAGCACTCTTCAAAATGTAGGTTGGGTGGCCAGTAGGTGGTGTGGTGGTTGGGGTGCTGGACTCCCACATAGCCAACTGTGGTTCGAGTCCCAGATCTGGTGGCTTGCTCTCTCACTTTCCCTCTCTCTCTCTGGTCAAATTAAATAATGATAATCATACATAACATTAAATAAATACTTTTTTTTAAAAAGTAAGTTGGGTCCGACCTCTGTGGCACTATCAGTAGTGTACTGAACTGCTAAGCTGGAAGCCACATGCCAGCCATAGTTGGAATCCCCTCCTTCTTTGCCTGAAAACATGCCAGGTGCCCAGAATCCTGTCAGGCCGGAAGACTAGAGGAAGGAAATCACAGCGTAAGAGAGGCCCAAGGAGAATGCCTCTCTCTCTTGCTCTCTCTCACATGTATGCACTATCATAAATTATTTTAGAAAGTAAGTTAATGGCTCTGAAATTAACAGAGTACAGAGGATTCTATAATTTAACAGTTTCTTGAACTACATTATAGTCAAGAATTTTTCTCCAATATTGAGTTAAAGAATTTTAAGATATGCTCATATAGTGGATTGTCCATTTGTACATGGAAATTTGGTATGCACATGTAAGGAAAAAAATAGTTCAAAAGCTATCTTGAAAACAAATGTGAGACCAGCCCCAGAGCCTACTGGTTAAAGGAGCTGGAGAAGAACATCCCCAAGTGCATGGCTTGTGTCTAAAATTCTGACAGGATGGAGAAATGGAGAAGGGATTGTGGTGTGGCCATGGCCCATTGGGGGTGCTTTATCCCTCTCTCTCTCTCTCTCTCTCTCTTTCTTTCTCTGTCCCTCTAGTGAGTGTATGTGCTTCCCAGCAATTTTAAAAAAGGAAATAATGGGACCAGCGGGTGGCGTGGCGGTTAAGGCGCCGGACACTCCCACATGGCCGACCAGTGTTCGAGTCCTGAATCTGGTGGCTTGCTTTCTTGCTTCCTCTCTCTCTCACTCTCAACCTCTATCTCTCTGGTAAAATTTTAAAAATGAATGAATAAATAAATAAAATAAATGATTATTTTTTTAAAAAAAGGAAATAAATGAGATTCTGCGTTAAATCCTAATTCTGTCAGTCTTTATAAAGATAAGATTGAGGTTTTATTTATTTATTTTTTTGGTAAGGTATTTTTCTAAACCAATACTGTATATTTACATTTCAGCAATTATTATAGAATTATGTATCAATATTTCAAGTTTCCATATGTATATAGCTAACCAAGAGAATCTAATCATAAACATTTAAAATCTAATTTTTGAGACATTTGTGATAGAATTCTTTGATAGTTTTATTAAGAATTTAATAGTAAATAGGGACCAGCAGATGGCATAATGATTACATTGCTGGACTCCGACATAGTTGACCATGTTTCAAGTTCTGGACCCAGCGGCTTAAAACTCATTCTGGGCATCTGGGCATGCATGCATGCATGCCCAAAATCTCAAGAGGAGACTGGAGAAGAAGGGATTGAAGTGTGGCCATACCCCCTGGGGGGTGATTTCTCGCTTTATGTCTTTCTGTCTCTCTCTATCTCTCCAGCAAGTGCATACACCCTGTAGCAAAAATCTTTCTTAAAAAAAAAAAAAGAATTTAAGAGTAAGTAACAATTTTATAGAGAGTTTTGCTATAGGGCACATGTGCATGCCAGAGAGAGAGAGAGAGACCGAGAGACAGAAAGCAAGAAATCACCCCACATGGTGGGGGGGTGGCCACACCACAATCCCTTTTCCTCCATTCTCCTCTTGGATTCTGGGCATGCATGCACAAGTGCCTGGCATAAGTTTCAAGCCACCAGGTCTGGGACTTGAACCATGCACGATCAACTACATGGGAGTTCCAGTGATGTAACCATTACATCATCTGCTGGTCCTAATAGTAAATACCAATTTTAAACAAATTGAATCTTGTATATTAGTCATATGAATGAAATGTTTTCTTATACAAAAATAATTTCATACACTCAGAGTATTATATTATGATATCATCTATTTTGAGTGATTTAAAGTGTATCTCAAGCATTCAAGATGCTTCCTTATAGGCAAAGCCTGCTAACTGGGTGTTAGGGATCAAGGCTGATTTGCTTTATTATCCTATCTGAGTTACCTGGGACCTTTTCATGTAAACAAATACAACATTGCATAGATGGCAAAACTGTTAGATTCTTCTCTCACAATTAACATTGATTCATCTATGCCGAATGCCTGTTAAACATCCTTGAAATCATGGAATTTGCTAAGTACTTTGATTTACCCATCATACAAATCATTAATAATAAGGTAGGCCGTTTGAGATAGTGAGCATATACTGAATTTTGACACATCGGGAAAATATCTGCCAAGCCGTTTTATCACCTGTGAAAACCATATATTTCTGATCAAGTGTCTGCTGGGGCAGAAGTTGTCAAAGGAGAAGAAATAAAATCTCAAAGAGAATTATCAAAAAATACCTATATCTTACCTGGGAATGGAAAATCTAAACTGAACTCCAAATCAATGGTTCTACGATAGAAAACAGTTCCGGAAAGAAAGAAAGAAAGAAAGAAAGAAAGAAAGAAAGAAAGAAAGAAAGAAAGAAAGAAAGAAAGAAAGAAAGAAAGAAAAAGAGAAAGAGAAAGAGAAAGAGAAAGAGAAAGAGAAAGCAAGAAAGAGGATAATTAACCCAATGTCTGCAAAGTCATACTGACTTGCCATAGAATTTTGGTAATGCAAATAAACAAATGAAGGCTGAGGGGGCCAGCAAGTGGCTCAGTGGTTAAGGCACTAGATTCCTACATAAAGGACCATAGTTCCAGTCCTGGGCTCAGCAGCTTGAAAAATCACGCTCAGGGAGCCCCAGATGATGTAATGGGACCCCAGCATAGTTGACCAGGGTTTGGACCGACTGGTGAATTAAAACTCACATTGGGCACATACACGCACATGTGCATGCGTGTCCCAAATCCCAGAGAATGAGTGGGAAGGGACTGCGGCATGGCCATCCCCCTCAGCCTGTGTGGGGAGTATGAGGGGGGTGATTTCTCACTTTCTCTCTCTGTCTCGCTGGCAAGAGCACGCGCCCTGTAACAAAAATCTCTCTAATATAAATAAATAAGAAAGGAAGGAGGGAAGGAAGGAAGAAAGAAAATCACACTGGGCACCTTTGCATGTGTGCCCAAAATCCCAAGAGGAGAATGGAGGAGAAGGGATTGCAACATGGCCATCCCCCTGGGGGATGATTTCTCCTCTTCTTGTCTTTCTCTGTCTCACTCTCACAAGCTCATGTGCCCTATGGAAAATACCTAAAAAACAAGCAAACAAAAAATGAACGTTGCAATCTTCCCCAGTAATCCAGTCAATAGCATAATCCCTTTAAAACTGTAATATTTCAATATGATGTAGTGAGCTTATGTCATATTTTATTAAACATGTTTTAATGGAGTCCAGTAGAAGCCAAAATTTAATTTTGTGTCATGAAATAATTTAGAAAATTCGAATACTGGACATAATGAAGCCACTTGTTCCCTAAAGTATGCTGTGTGTTCAAAGTAGTCTATACTCTCATTCACCTAGACTTTATGTATTTAGCCCCCAAGGAGGTACCCACAAATAATAAGTTGATTTGTTAAAAAAAAAAAAAAAAAAAAAACACAGCGTAAGGGGAACAGCAGGTTGCATGGTGGTTAAGGCACTGGATGCTCCCATATGAATGACCTGGTGTCTTACTTTCCCACTTTCTCTCTCTCTCTCTCTAATCAAATTAAAATAAATGAATGAATAAATAAAATTAAATAAATAATTCTTTTTTAAAAACCATGTAAGAAGAGACAACTGTGAAATGAAACTATGGATTTTGAAGGATCAAGTAGAGAAGGGTCAAGGTATTGAGATCCATAACCTCAAGACATGAACGTTTGCTTGGAGAAGTCTAAAAGTTCTTATTATGAAGATTAATAGGGGCCAGCAGGTGGTGTGGTGGTTAAGGCACTGAACCTGCCACACGGCCAACTGTGGTTTTGTCCGGAGTTAGCGGCTTGCTTTCTCATATCTCTCTCTGCCTCTCTCTCTGCCCCTCTCTGGTTAGTGTGTGTGTCCTGTAGGAAATTTTAAAGTAATAATGATAAATAAATAAATAATCCTTAGAAAAAAGTAGAAATAATCAACAAGTTCAAAATTACTACTAACAAAGAAAATTTAACTCTTCTTTATGGAATTCATCAATAATACCCAGGTAGATGTCTTTAAATAAAAATGTATTTTATCTATTTTGCAAAAACAAACATGACAATGAATTATTTTGATAGACTGAAATAACATTTCATTCAAAGTATTCCCTATATTCTGGAACAATGCTACCAGAAAGCAGAAACAGATTAGTTAGGAACTTCCACAAAACTAAGCTAGGTATTTTCTGTTTCTTCTGGTCCCTCCTTCTGATGCCTGTAGCTACTCAAGAACTTATGACAGCCTACAAAGCAAGGCTATACCCTCCCCACCCCTCCAAGGCCTTCATTCCAGAACAAGACACTCTTTTCTTCTGCTACTCTGTGAAAGAAACTTTCTTTTATTGCTGCTGGCTGATGGTGGCCTCAGATCCATCAACAGTTGAAGGGTACTCCATCAGCAATACTGGAGAAATGAGTGCTTTTAAGGACCCCCTAAGGACAATCCTGTATGTTGCTCCAGAGCTATCTAAGGGCCCTCCTTTTCCCAGTTATCAAGAATAGGGTAGAGTGAGGATTGACTTGCATAACCAGGGACCGTCCTTTTCTCAGTTACTTTAGTATAGAGAAGGATGAGGGTTCAATTGCATAATGAAAAGAAATCAAGCCAAAATTCACTTTTTATGAATTCACAGCCCATGAGGGTCTCTGCAAATGTCTGCCTTCTGTGGAAAGTGGGTTGTTTAGGTCTAGCTAGTGGCATGGGTTAAGGCACTGGGTCCCATTTGTTCAATTGCGTGATTCGAGTACCAGAGCTGGCAGCTTGAAAAAATGCAAGGCGTGTGTGCATGCATGCCGAACATCTCAAGAGGAGAATAGAAGAGAAGGGATTGTAGTGTGGCCATCCCCTTTGGGGAGGTGATTCCTTACTTTTACTCCCTCTGTCTCTGGTGAGTGCACATGCTATATAGCAAAAATTAAAAAAAGAAAAGAAGAAAAGATAAAGAAAATGGATCGTGTATATTGCTGACTGTTGCTGCTTGGCTTCTCTCATTATTTCTAGTGGACTTTCAGGGCACAAAGTATTAGTCAAGGTCAACAATTATTTCTTTTCTTCTCACAAGATTGGGAGTGAGGATATTTGGGTTCCTACACTGGATCTACATTATAATCAGGAGCAAGGCAATTTTCTCTCATTTTCTTAAATAGTTAAAGTGAAGATGTTCAATTAAACCACCTCTTAGTTTCCATATATTTTAAAAATTAAAATACCTCTCTATATTATTAATAAAATTTTGACTCTCCGAGTCAAAATGATGGTGTCTAGAGCATAGTATGTGTTCAGTAACATCAGTGAATTAATGATTAATTTATATAAACTGATGTAAGTGTTTTCTGTTATACCTTTCATATATAGTTAAATAAAGTTTACCCTTCTACCTGCAATGGCTAATCATTCTCTTTGTGCAACAAAATGGGAGCCAGTGTCCAGAAGAGTCACTTTAAGAGTTGCAATGCACCCTTTTGGCTGGAACCACCATCTCCCAGTAATTAACCAAAATGACGAACACAAAGAGAAAGAGGAGAGGCACCCAATATATGTTCTAAAAGGAGAGGCACCCGACACATGTCCTCTAGGCCTTTTAGAAAACATGGAGTGGTTCCTTTGGCAACATATATGCAAATCTACCAGAAAGGTGATCTACCAGCGCGGATATATAGACATCGAGGGAATGAGTACTGTTCAGAAAGGAATGCCCCACAAATGTCACCATGGCAAAACTGAAGAGTCTACAATGTTACCCAGCATGCTGCTGGCATTGTTGTGAAGAAACAAGGGCAAGAGTCTTGCCAAGAGAATTAATGTGCATATTGAGCATATTAAGCATTCTAAGAGCAGAGACAGAGTCCTAAAAACGTGTGAAGGAAAATGACCAGAAAAAGAAGGAAGCCAAAGAGAAAGGTACCTGGGTTCAACTAAAGCGCCAGCCTGCTCCACCCAGAGAAGCACACTTTGTGAGAACCAATGGAAAGAAGCTTGAGATACTGGAACCTATTCCCTATGAATTCATGGCATGGTAGGTGTTAAAAATAAACCGATCTATGGTCTATTAAAAAAAAAAAGTTGCAATAAGAGTTGCAATGCAAAGCATAGATTTTTTAAATTTATCTGAATTTTAAAGAAAGTATACATGAACACTGCTACATTAATTTGGTGTCTTAAAATGGATTTTAAAGTATACTAGCAACATCTGGGATGAAGAAATTTAACTAAACAAGAACATTTTGAAAGATGGAACGGTCAGTAAATTAATTTCAATATGGTGCAATTCCCTAGTAAGGACTCTGAGCGCCGCTGTTGACCAACAGGGGAGAAATGGAGCGAGAGATCCGGCAATACCAACGAGTTCTGCAGCACGGAGAAACAGCAGATTGAGACAAGCCCTCTTCCACGCTGCTGCACCAAACTCAAGCCTCTGCCTTGCTGAATTCTAGGCTCTCTCTGCTAATTTAGAGATCAGCGCGGATATATCCATATTCAGAATCCGGTCCGGAGATCTCAGCGTCTGACCAGGATCACCAGGACAATGGCGGCTCAGCAGAGGGGCGGGGACTACAGAGGATTCGTCCTGCTCTCCATCCTTCTAGGGACCCGGTGGGAAGCCTGGGCAGAACGTATGCTCTACTCCGTGTTGGAGGAGACGGACAAGGGCTCCTTCGTGGGCAACATCGCCCAGGACCTGGGGCTGGAGCCCCCGGAGCTGGCGCAGCGCGGAGTCCGCATCGTCTCCCGAGGTAGGACGCAGCTTTTCGCTCTGAACCCGCGAAGCGGCAGCTTGATCACCGCGGGCAGGATAGACCGGGAGGAGCTCTGCGCTCAGAGCGCGCGGTGTCTGGTGAGTTTTAACATCTTGATGGAAGATAAAATGAATCTTTACCCCATAGAAGTGGAAATAATGGATGTTAACGACAATGCTCCCAGATTCTTGACGGAAGAAATTAACGTAAAAATAATGGAGAATACAGCGCCCGGCGTGCGTTTTCCATTAAGCGAGGCTGGAGATCCAGATGTGGGCTCGAATTCTCTCCAAAAATACCAGCTCAGCCCCAATCTCCACTTCTCCCTAGCTGTACAAAGTGGAGACGATGGAATTAAGTACCCGGAACTGGTGCTGGAGCGGGTGCTGGATCGGGAGGAAGAGATGGTTCACCACCTGGTCCTCACGGCCTATGACGGCGGCAGCCCACCGCGGTCTGGCACCGCCCACATCCAGGTCATAGTGGTGGACGTGAATGACCATGCACCTGTCTTCTCTCAGCCCCAGTACCAGGCGACTATCCCTGAGAATGTACCTGTGGGCACAAGACTGCTCACGGTAAATGCTGTCGACCTGGATGAAGGAATCAATGGCGAGGTGACATACTCTTTTCGGAAAATAGCTCCAAAACTTTTACAAATATTCCACCTGAACTCTATTACAGGAGAATTATCAACTCTAGAAGGCCTGGATTATGAAGAATCCAGCTTCTATGAAATGGAAGTTCAGGCTCAGGATGGCCCTGGTAGTCTGACCAAGGCGAAAGTACTGATCACTGTTTTAGATGTGAATGACAATGCTCCGGAAGTGACCATAACGTCTGTAAGCAGCTCGATCCCTGAAGACACACCTCCCGGGACAGTAATTGCTCTTTTCTACCTCCAAGACAGAGACTCTGGGAAGAATGGCGAAGTGACCTGCACTATTCCAGAAAATCTGCCTTTTAAATTAGAAAGATCAATCGATAATTATTATCGATTGGTCACAGCTAAAAATCTAGACCGGGAAAAACTCTCTCTGTATAACATCACACTGAAAGCCACGGATGGTGGAAGTCCTCCCCTGTCCACAGAAATTCACATCTCCATGCATGTGGCAGACACCAATGACAACCCTCCAGCCTTCACTCACTCTTCCTACTCCATCTATGTCCCTGAGAACAACCCCAGAGGCGCCTCCATCTTCTCCGTCACTGCGCAGGACCCTGACAGTGATGAGAACGCCCAGGTCACTTATTCCTTGGAAGAGGACACCATCCAGGGGGCACCAGTGTCCTCTTACGTCTCCATCAACTCTGACACTGGAGTCCTGTATGCATTGCGCTCCTTTGACTATGAGCAGTTTCGTCACATACAATTAAGAGTAACTGCATGTGATAGTGGGGACCCTCATCTCAGCAGCAACGTGTCACTGAGCCTGTTCGTGCTGGACCAGAATGACAATGCACCTGAGATCTTGTATCCTGCCCTCCCCACAGACGGCTCCACTGGCGTGGAGCTGGCACCTCGTTCTGCAGAGCCTGGCTACCTGGTGACCAAGGTGGTGGCAGTGGATAAAGACTCTCCCTACCGCCTGCTCAAGGCCAGCGAGCCGGGACTCTTCGTGGTTGGACTGCACACGGGCGAGGTGCGCACAGCGCGGGCCCTGCTGGACAGAGACGCGCTCAAGCAGAGCCTGGTGGTGGCCGTCCAGGACCATGGCCAGCCCCCTCTCTCCGCCACCATAACGCTCACAGTGGCGGTGGCTGACAGTATTCCCGACGTCCTGGCTGACCTGGGCAGCATCAAGACCCCTGCTGAGCAAGACGATTCAGACCTCACGCTGTACCTGGTGGTGGCTGTGGCTGTGGTCTCCTGCGTCTTTCTGGCTTTCGTGGTTGTGCTGCTGGCGCTCAGGCTGCGGCGCTGGCACAAGTCCCGCTTCCTCCAGGCTGCAGGTAGTGGACAGGCATGCCGGCCTCACACTTCGTGGGCATGGACGGGGTGCGGGCTTTTCTGCAGACCTATTCCCACGAGGTCTCCCTCACCGCGGACTCCCGGAAGAGCCACCTGATCTTCCCCCAGCCCAACTACGCGGACACGCTCATCAGCCAGGAGAGCTGCGAGAAAAAGGATTCTTTGTTAGCATCCATAGATTTTCATGAATGTAAGGATGAAACCCCAAGTATTCAGGTGAGTCCAGGGATAGCTTTATATTTATTTCCACAAGGAATTTTACTTTGTGATAGAGTACTATTTTGCAAAACAACAGCATAGAAGCTTAAATAACCTTTAAAGAGGCAAAAGTGAGTTTAGTGTTTTATTTCTTTTGTGATATTTAACATGGAACCCAAATTATTTATTTATTTATTTAGTGAAATGTATGGACATGCTTGTGAATAAGTGGACAATCACATTTTTGTACCTTCTATTTTCCACTTTTTTAGAATTATTTTATTTAACTTTATTTGTTTATTTATCCTTATTTAACCAGAGAGGGACAGAGTGAGAGCGAGAGCAAGGGAGAGAGAGAGAGAAAGCAAGCCACCAGGTCTGGGACTTGAACAGCTGTCAGCCCTGTGGGAGTCCAGTGCCCTTAACCACCACGCCACCTGTTGGTCTCTCTATTTGGTTTTCTTGGCTCATGACTTATAAATGAGAATGAATTGTTAGTCTTTCTTATGCATTAGGTCATCAAAATGTGAAGCATATCTCAGTTTTCTTTTCAGGATTCTCTTTAGAATTTAGATCAATACAAATTTATTGAAGATTTTTTTCAATCTGAAACTTCTTTTCTGTGTCTTGCTCTGTCTCCACATATTTCAGCTTGATGGCCCTGAAAATTCTGGTTACTTTCTGACCTAGTTGAAGTATAATAATCCATTAAAATTGGAGTGCCTTGGAGCCAGCAGGTGGCATAGAGGTTAAGACCCTGGACTCCCACATGGCTGACTGTGGTTTGAGTCCCAGAACTAGTGGCTTGAAATCATGCCAGGCATGTGTATGTATGTGTGCCCAAGATCCCAGAGAATGGAAGAGGAGAATGGAGGAGAAGGGGTTGTGGGTATGGCCATCGCTCCCCTCCACCATGATTTCTCACTTTTCCTCTCACTGTCTCTCTCTGTCTCTCTCCTCTCTGATGAGCACACATATCCTGTGGCAAAAACCTTTTAAAAAATGTTAGGGTGCCTAGTGAAAAAGTTAGAATGATGCCTACAGGATGAAATGTGTGCATCAAGCTTCACTAAGATTTATATCAGATGCAGGAATGAAGCCTCATGCCACCCTAACAGTCGCTGGTGAAAAACAGTACTGTATGTCAGATAAAATGTCAATTCAAGTGTTATAAGTGTTACAACTGGCATTTGTGACATAGGTAGTTATGTGTTTTGGTTGATCACTCCAGTGTGGTGTCTGTAGGCTCTTAGAAGAGATAGGGAATGCTGCCTTTATAAAACTACCATCTCATGTGCTCAGATCCTAGACCAATAGACAATCATATCTATTGGACCTGCTGAAAAATTCAGTTAGGAATAAACAAATCTTGGATTGACTACATCCATATTCTTATTTTTAAGAAAATTATTTTATTTAGCTTTATTTATTTTAATTTGACCAGAGAGGGACAAAATGAGGGGGGGGGGGTGAGAAAGCAAGTCACCAGGTCCGGGACTGGAACTGTGATCAGCTTTGTGGGAGTCCAGCACTTCTAACCACAATGCCACCTGCTGGCCCCCATCCATATTCTTTTTAATAACATATCAGTAAAGTTCAATATATCAGGTAATTATTCTCTAGAAGGGATGGATTACAAGGTAATCTTGATTCCTGACACCTTAGGGGTGTTAACTAAAAGAGCACTGGGGGGAGGGCAGCAGGTGGTGTGGTGGTTAAGGTTCCGGATTCCCACAAGGCAAACCATGGTTCACGTTCTAGACCTGAAGGCTTGAAAATCATGCAGGGATCGCTCCATGGCCGTCCCTCCTATGGGGCGATTTCTCACTTTCCCTCTGTCTATTTCTTCCTGGTGAGCACATGTGCCCTATGATAAAAACCATATATATATATACACACACACACATATATATATGTATATATATTTGTTTCTATCGTAGTGTTGTATTTAGTGACATTTTGCATAGAACCAACTGTGCAATCGTGTATGCATATTTTCACACATTCTGCACTGTTCAGATGTAGAATCACGTGGTGAGAAGATAATGACACTTTATAAGAAAAGATCCTTTGGTAAAAACATGGCTGTTGGATATTTTTAAAAAGAAAAGCCCCCAACAAAGATTTTTTAGATGCTTAGAAATATTTTTAAACAAAGATGAGAAATCATCATTAAACTGAGTGAGCTGTTGCAAATAGACTTCTTGGGGACCGTTCCCTTCCATTCTGAGGACATCATTCGTGGCCAAGTAAGTGCAGAGGAAGGAACCCATACTGCAATAAACGTCAGTGACTCCGTATTGAGAGGCAAAATGATTCTCCTGACAACTTTGAAGAATAGCATTATATTTTGAAACAAGGAAAATAATCGTGTAAGGAGAAGGATAGGACAACTCTTTTTCAGACTACATCATTTCCTTGATTGAATATTACCGGAGCGAATGGAAATCAGAATTAGATATCACTACAAGAAAATTATGAAAGGTATTTTGGAAAAAAAGATGTGTTTGGAAAGAAGTATAAAATGAACCATTTCAAAGAAAAATGATGCGCTCTGGGGGGGGGGATGGAAATGAATCAGCTTTTAAGTACCTAGAAAAGTGGAGGAAACATGAGAAACGAAGAATTAAGGCTAAGAAGTATCCTCTGTATTGCTAGTCAATATGCAAAATTACTGTGCTAAGATGATTGAGGTCAAGTCTGTAGTATAATCTTTCTATCAATAGAATATTTAAAGATTGGGAATAATTACGGCAACAGGTATTTACCTATTAAACCTGTGCGATTTTCCTAACAACCTGAGAAGTTAAGATAAAGGCATTTCTAAGAGTACGATTTAAACATTAAAGATACAAAGCTATCCCCTAATTTGTTCAAGTTAAACACACTGAAGTAGTTAAACCAAAACAGGGGCTGCAGTTCCCCAGTGTGGACTCTGGGCGCCGCTGTTGGCCAAAGTGGAGAGCTTGGCGCTCACAATCTTCTTGCGCAGCCGCACCGCGCCTTCCAGGGTAGCCTGATCTCAGACTCGCGGGCGCCAATCTTTACACTCCCCCGTCTTCTTCACGAAAAGAATCCCCGACCTCCCTCACTGGAGCTAAAGTCCGTCCGGAGCTGGGAATAGCCGCAGCACCCGGCTGATCGGTAACCCGGCGTCTCGAGCTGGTGAGCAAACTGAGGGGAACGAGAGGGATGGGGAGCGGCGCTGGGGAGCGGGGCTGGGCGGAGAGGCGGCCAGTGCTCTAGAGAGCGGGGAGCTGCTTGTGAGCGGCAGGCTAGACAGGGAGCAGATCTGCGGGAAGAATCCCACTTGCGCTCTGGAATTTGAGGCTGTGGCGGAGAATCCATTGAACTTTTACCACGTGAATGTGGAGATCGAGGATATTAATGACCACACGCCAAAATTCACCCAAAATTCTTTTGAACTTCAGATAAGTGAGTATGCACAGCCAGGCACAAGATTTATATTAGAAGGTGCCGAAGACGCGGATATTGGCTTGAACTCTCTACAGAATTATAAACTCTCTCTTAGCCCTATTTTCTCGCTGGTAAATAAGGAGAAACAGGATGGTAGTAAATACCCGGAACTGATATTGGAGAAAACCCTAGACCGGGAACAACAGAGTTTCCATCGGTTAGTCTTGACTGCTTTGGATGGCGGAGACCCACTCCTAAGCAGCACCGCCGAGCTACGAATCCAGGTTACCGATGCCAATGATAATGCCCCTGTATTCAACCAGGAGGTGTACCGGATCAGCATTCGGGAAAACGTACCCCCAGGCACCCCGGTGCTGCAAGTGTCAGCTACAGATCGGGATGAAGGCACTAACGCCGAAATTACTTACTCCTTTTACAGAGCGGGTCAAATGTTCAGTCTAAATTCGAAGAGTGGGGAAATTACAACTCAAAACACATTGGATTTCGAAGAAGTCAAGGAATATTCTATAGTGGTGGAAGCGAGGGACGGTGGAGGACTGGTTGCACAATGTACAGTTGAAATTAGCGTTGAAGATGTAAATGACAACAGTCCAGAAATTACTTTCCATTCTCTACTGGATATTATTCCAGAAAACGCAGTGCCTGGAACACTGATTGCTTTGATCAAAATACATGATCAAGATTCCGGGGAAAATGGAGAGTTTAACTGTCAATTGGAAGGTGAAGTTCCTTTTAAGATAGTCTCTTCATCCAAGAATTCATATAAATTGGTAACAGAAAGGACCCTGGACAGGGAGCAGATCCCAGAGTACAATCTTACCATAACCGCCACCGACAAGCGCA